ACTTCCTACGCTAAATACATATTTTAGTTCTAGTTAAAGTTCTGTTGTATCCTTTTAAAACACGCATCAGGCTGTCCATCCTGATGTAAACATGTAGGAGCAGCTGCAGAGGTGGCCTCCAGCGACAGGTACCTGTGATCTCAGCTGGAGTAACAACACTTCCTGTCTAGTCCTGAGGAGCTTCTATCGCTGTGTGGTGGAGTGCATTCTCTGCTCCTGCATCACTGTGTGGCAAGGCAGCTGCTCTGCTGCTGAGAGAACGACTCTGCAGAGAGTGGTCAAGGCTGCACAGAGGACTGCTGGGAGCAGCCTTCCCTACATATAACAACATATCACATAAATTATATTATTATTCATTTGTGTATTTGATTCCTAAAATCCAGTACTCAGTATAAATTTGTTTTGAAATTCAGACTTGAATTTCAGACTCAAATTTGTAATTTGAGTCTGAAATTTGGACTTGAGACAAACAGGTTGAGGTGGTATGACAAGAAAATGTCCTAGAGAATAGAATGTTTCTCAGGTTTGAACGTATTGCATCCTTTGCCTCTTAGCTCCTGTTTGACCTGAGGATTGCAGGTATTCATGGAATATAATGTGCACACAGAAGGCAGAGAGGAACGGAAGGCAAAGATACTACTATACATAGCCTTGGCAATCTTGTACAAGACCATTAACACCTTTCATCAAGATTTATGTAAGAGAGTATTTAAAAGGCTTAAGAGAAACAGTCTGCATGGCCAAAATGACTGGAAGTCTGACACTCTGCACCTTTTCTAACCATAATCCTGGCAATAATGTAATGGTCTTCTGTATTTAAAGACTGATTCAAATATGTGATTCATCCACAATTATGTGAAGATTTGAGTTACCTTTCACATCTGACAAACTTTAAATCTTGTTGCTGAGCCAAAAGACGAGTGTATTCTGAGTTATTTTGTTGTACCAGACCATGTTTAACATTTTGTTTTGCGTTAAAACACTGACTTTAGAATGATTCCAGCTGAGAGACAAATATTAATGCTGCATCATTCATACAGGCAGGTCCCAGGCATGACAGACAGCCAGGCTGGTAACACCAACAGAGGACATACCGTCTTGTATGTGTTGTAATGCAAGTTGGACTTCGTTTCTGTGTGAAACAAATGTACACGTATTACCCATTTTAGTTCATTTTCTGTTACACTGATGAATCTAAGGCTTGTCAGATGTGAAAGGTAACTCAGTGTAACAAACGTTCTTTTTATTATTATTATTATTATTATATATATATATATATACATCTGGCAGGAATCCTGTATTCTGCACTAAGATGCTTCATGACTGTTAACTGATTTTTTATTTTTACCAAGTCGTTGTTGATGTTTTAGGTATTTTGGTGCATTTGCTCATTTTAAATATAAATTTGCTCAAAACAAAACGTTTCCTTTTTTTTATTTTGTAATGATATTAAGTCCCTTGTGATTGTTGAATGCTATCTTGGTAGTAACTCATTAATTCTGCTAATGAGGCTGGACCAACTTAGGAACTTCAACTTTTTTATTAATGGAGGTACCTGACTCAGCAATCAGCTATCAGCAACATTAACATCATTACCCAAAATCAAATTCCTTCACTTTAAGCACTAATTAACCACTAACTGAAACAAAGCTAAGAGTTGATCTCCATCCCAACATCTGAATATAAGAAATAACCACCCCACTGCCCACTAAATCTTAGATAAGATTTAACAACACTAAAGCAACAGCAACACTGAGCTGCTGCACAAATAAAAACAACTGATCACTACAGTACAGTCATTATTTCTCCATATCTTTATTACCTTTGTATAGCTAAAGCCTGCTGTTGTATTAAATGAAGATACTTTTGAAACATGTGAACATCTGTAAACAACTCTGTTAATGTTGCACAGACAAATAAGAAGAGTAGTGTTAAGATGCTGGAGGTGGTGCTAATGGTTCAAAAGCTCGATCCATTAAAACACTTCATGTAAAACTCAATAACCAGTCTGTTCCTTTCACTCTGCGTGTTTATAGTTCAGAAAATTGTTGTGGCGGTAAAGGACATCCATTCTCCGGGCTGTTGCCGGGGATACGTTACAATGAGATAAACAGTTCTTTCAAAAAGTCTGTAGAGCCACACTGAAGGGTTTTCATAATATGATCAGCACATTTATGGTCACAATGCAGCATTTCAATCAGATGTGAGTCTAAACTTTCTCTTGGCCAATTCAAAACCTTCACTTTGCTTTACCTGCCCCACCAAACTAAGCATCCTATGTTTGTTTTCTACACCAGTAACAGTAGAAACATTTTAATCGAGGTTTACAGTTGACACACTGAACTAGACGTGAGGGGGTGTGCACCAACTGTGTCATGTGTACTTTCGATTTTTTGTAGGTTTTAAAAAATTTTAAAAACAAGAACATAGTGGGCTCCTAACGGCCCTACCACAAGGCTTAGCAAGTTTTCTGGGCGAATTCCCCGTGTCTGCTAAGAAAACAACAATCATTTAACGACTCACCAAAGTGCAAAAACTAAATTGAGGACTTAATTTTGCACCCTGGATCATATTCTAAACTGGAGCTGGCTGGTTTAACCAGGCTGAACTTCACCTTTGTTTTAAAGGTCAGGGAAGGCTAAAGTTGATGATTGAAGAAAAAAATTGTCCTTTCCAGTCCAGCAGGGCTCTCAAAATCTGGTTCAGTCAAGGGGTCAGGGGGTTTCTGCAGCAGTTCAGAATTCAAGTGGACTTATGAGAAATGCAAAAGAGAAATTGCAGATCATTGTACACATGAGCTGAAGTTTAGCAGCACTCTATGATATGAATAATCTAACAGTGTGACCTGAATCTGGGGGATGGTTTATTACAAGAGAAAATTTTGTCCAGTTGCATTTCTATTTGCAGGAAAAAAGAAAACAAATTGAAAAACATATTGTAAAATTATGCTTCATAGAGGGCAAATTATTCTGGCCAGCTTATCTAAGCCTGTGTATCAAAAGAATGATAAATAAATACAAAGTGTTTTATTTAATAGAAGAGAACTGCTGCCTCCTACTTTAACAATAGTTTGCGTTACCAATGTGCACAAAACTTTAGCGATATTCCACTAAAGTCGACAAAATGCAATTTCACAATTGCGTTTTTTCCAGTGAATAAGAATTGCAACTAAAATCACACATGTTGCTCAAGTGACTCGTGATGTGGAAACTGTTTCCATCGCAGTTTTGTAAAGGACAATCATTTCGATGGGGCCAAAAGCACCGCCTCATCCTAGCACAAAAACATGAGAGTTTTTTTTTTCGAAATAGTCGTGTTTTATTTTCATAATTTCACATTTTTATAGTCAGTGGAAATGCAGCTATTGTTGGAGGCCAACAGAAGACATGAAGACCCACAACCAGTTCATCATAAATTTGTAGTGACAGAGATAAATCACACCGAAGGTTCCTGAACCCATAAAGTAATCGGTGTTTATGACTCCCAGATGTCTGCTGGCGCTCAGTGACAGTGACATTCAAGTCTTAATGGAACCAGTGGTGGTCCATTTCAAGTCTTTTTGACCTTCCATTGACATTTTCTTTTAATGAATGTAAAATCTAAAAAAGACTCATTTTCACTGCTTACTCCTTCATCCTCCACCCATTAAATCTGCCTAATATCTCAGTTTCCTTCCACTTCATTCCTAATTATCCACATCTACCAGCTATTTGGCTGCTTTTTTGTGATTTTCCTCCCACTCAGCTGGAATTTGGCACTCGCAGAGAAGCCAGAGCTCACCTTCCAGATCCCCCCCTCCTTCTTCTCCCTTTCAGCTTCAATCAGTCATCAGAGTCCAGGAGGAAAGGAAAACTTCAGAAGTCAGCCACCTTGTTCATTAAGACCATTAACATTTTTCATCTGTGATTGTCCCCTTGAAAAACACCATCAGTCTGTCTGAGTGTGAGCCTCTCTGAGTCACGTATTTAAGGGAATGTTGTCGGGAAGGAATGATGGGAAGGCCATTACAGGTGCCTTGATTACGCACATGCTTAGCCTAATTACAACTTGACACATCTGTATGCATTTTAATCAGACAGCCAGCTTCATCATAGCTGTCAAACTCCTGTCTGGCTCCTCATTTTCTCCCCTTCGTGTCCTTTTTCTTTCTTGGCTTTCACTAATCTCCTTTGCACATGCCCTTTTTTAGTTTCCATCAGCAGCAAAGCCTTTCAGTTTTTTCTTGCTTTGCCCGACCTCAATCTTTAATGTATTTTGTTGTTGTTCTCCATAATATACCAAGATTTTGAGTACCTTGCGCAGCAGCAGTTTGATGTTTCACCACCATGCCTCGTAGTTTCTTAAAAATAAACATCAAATTCACAGAGTAATAACTCTGGATCGACGACATAAGGTGATGCCACCAGACTGGCAGTATATTTTGTATTTTATATTATGATACATTTTTCAACCACATCATTCAACCCTACATTCAGTCTTTCTCTTCTGTTCCTTCTCTCCCAGTTCACTGATCAAAGATTTCTGAATTTCTGACTACTTGCTCACTTATCAGGGCTAATGAAGTTAGTAATGATCTAATCCTGGACAGCAGGTGTTAGTTATGGATTGACAAGTATAACATTCCAAATTCTAAGGCAGTTTTATTTTTTTATTTGTTTTTTTACATATGGGACAGCTTGGAACATCTATGAATCAGTCTCATGGAGTCCTTGTTTCAGAACCGCAATGTCAGATTTAATGAACACATTTCCCATTTATTAGGCCTTGTTGTCATGGCAGCCCATGCAAAAAAAAACTCAACCTTCTGTAGTGCAGGTTGGTTTTGATATTAGAGATCAGCTTTTTGTTCATAATTTCTCACATGAACTGGCTAAACAATTTTTTTGAAAAAGTCCCCTTTTTGAAAATAAAGAAAAGTGTTTTCTTGAAAACTGCATGAAAAGGAAGCATCAGTACATTGTCAGAAATGCACATTAAACATTATTGATGTGCAAGTTCTATTTGATATCAGTCTTTATTATTTCAGAGATATAATCTGTTAATAACCAACCCACTTCCTCCTCCAACTTCAGATCAAATCAATCTGAAACAAGCTCCGTCTAAAATTGAAATTGCCTTTTTTTATTTTCTTCACTCTTCTAATCTTTACCAGGGTCATGGAGGGCTGGTGCCTTTCACCAGTGAACGATTGTCAACAGTCAGAAACAACCCAACAACACTAATGCCAAGTTATTAAGAATAAAAGGTACAATCAAAACTTGACATTGCATACCATAATGTTTTTTGTTGTTGTCGGCACCAAAAAATAAATAATAAAACAAAAAAAAGTCAGGCTAATGAAAAATCATAATTATAGTAATGACAATAGCTATACTTAAAATTAGAACGTGACCAGCATGTCGATATGTTAATGCTAATAATCAACATAAGTTATACATTCACAGAGAAAATGATTAATCCACTTTGCACCTCTTCAGTCTCCTTTATGACACCTACTGTTTTGACTAATTATAGTAATGATGTCATGATGGGTCCTAGTTTCTTTACCCACATACAGAACAACATCAGGAGAACAAATGATCAGATAACAATGACGAAAAGTAAGATTGTGTAGTTCATGTCCTTGGGGTTGGCAACCAGGGCCGTCTGTATTCTGAAAAGCAATGAGAAAGAGATGGTAAGTTTGAGGTTGTCGGAAAGTGGAAATTCAGGAAGAATTATCTTGAGCTTACTTGAGATGAAGATAAACTTCCGCCAGAGGAGAATACCATGGTTTCTGGGGCATGGTCTCTTTGTGGGTGTCCTTGAAGTGATCCGGGTTCCAGCATGAGTTCTTGACAGAGTGAGGTCTTGACAGAGTGAGGTCTTGACAGGTAGATGTAGAAGCTGTGGTGGAAGACGGACAGGTAAGTTCAGGTGTGGAGGAGCGAGGAGCGAATTGACTGCCCGCTGGAAATCCAGGAAAGGCTTATTGAAGATCTGCTGAGGCGAAGAAGGGACTCGGGCAACCAGTGGGTAACAATCCATAGTGTCATGAGGGGAGAAATCCCAGAAAGCTTGGACTCAGACTTCACAGGGGAATTTCAAGGCGTCACAAGGAAACACCTGAGAAAGAAAAAAGAGACAGAAGCAACAAGGACTAATTACTAGAAGTAATTTCAGAGAAACACAGAGAGCTAGTTTGGAGGTGCGCAGAGTACCATAACCGGCAAACACTCAGGCAACGAAGTGTTGGCAGCCTGCCTCTCATATACTTCCAGATAATTAGGTGATGAATCACAGGTGTGCTGACCTGAGTCAGCGGGCACGCCCTCCAACATGTAACAACCTCTACACACCATCTAGTGGATGAAAAGGGAAGCAGCAGGCAAACAGAAAATCCCCACAAAGAGCGAAAACCCTAGTTCCCAAAAATTAATAATAATAATAATAATGCATTTAAATGCAGTCACCATTGAAGTAACACTAATCTCCTCAAACCAATAAAAAAATTGTCTTAATTTTTTAAAAGAAATTTCTTTTTTCATTCATCTAAATGCTAAAACTAAAAAGCATGTTTTTTTGTTTATTTTTATTGATATCTTCTAAAGTCAGAAGTCGACATGCATTTCTTTCACGATCAATAGCATTACCTTTAAAATTAAATAACGGGTTAAACAGTTTTGGGTATCCTTTCGCAGTTTGAAGTGGTTTGCTGTAATTTATACTCTTTTCTCCAGAAACATTTGCCGTAACGGTCAGTGACTGGATGCAATCTGCTGTTTCCTTGAATAGAAAGGTTTTAAGCTACACTGATAGCTTACTGCTCTGTTTGGGCTGTGTGTATAATTCAATTGAATCAATGTTTTTTGGTAAAGTACATTTGTTATGAATTAACGCTATACAAATAAACTGAATTGAATTGAATAAATAAGTTTGATCTGTAGGCTCCAATTTTCTCTTGGTCTGAGATCAGAGCTTTGTAATGACCATTCCAAAACATTAACTTTGTTGTTGTTCAGCCACTTTGTAACTAATTGGGTTGTAGTGACAGGGCCATTGTCAGTTCAGATGATTAATTTGACCTGAAAAGACCAACTTATTTTCAACAATCTTCCACCATTTGATTGAAGGCCTGGCACTTTTAGTGCATGTAAATGTGTTAGTGTATGTAAAATATTCCTCACCATTCTCCCTCTTATAGCGATTATATATTACTTTGATCATGCTTACTGACTTGGGACTGAAAAAGATTTGTCCTATTTAATGTCAAACCTCTGGTTTTATTATTATCTGAGTAATGATAATGTCACCTATTATATGTCCAGACTAACTCAACTAGTCTTTGACATGTTTCCCTTTCCTGAACAGGTAAATGCATTCCTGTCCTTTGTGCTGCCGATGGTTGCCATTTCCGTGCTCAATGGGGTCATAGCCAGTCAGCTGCTGCGGATGTTCCAGGAAGCTGAGCAAGACAACCGCATGTCCATCACCAGAGGAAACCCCACCATGCTGAACATCATAGTGGAGTCCAACCGCGCTCAGTCGCTTCGCCATGGAGTTCTCGTCCTCCGTAAGTACAAACTGCTAAAACTTAAAAATCCACAGAAAAGAGATTTCAAGGCATCAAAAATACTTTTGTCGTCTGGTGACAGATTTTCTTCTTCCTTTCAAGTCTCAGCTGTTGCAACTGCATCTTTTTGAATTCTTGTGCTCACCTTTAGTTTTCAAAAGCAAATCATAACGTTAAGGTAAAACAAGTTTTAGTTGAAAACGTTTCACAATCAAAGTTTGAGAAAACGGTGGAAGCCATTTGAACTGTAAGTAAGGTAAGAATTGGCTCTACAAAGAATCTTTGGCATTTTCATTTTTTGGCATCCAGAAAAATTTCGCTCAACGCGTATATTGTAAATGTGCAGGTGAATAACAATAAAGTCTATGTCTGTGTTATCGCTGCTCTCACAAGTGGGTGAAAACGAAGCAGTCAAAGATTCCTTGTCTCAGGCCGATGAATCCCTTTTGTATTTTCTGTATTGTCTGCAGAGAAGCCCTGTTGAAATTCTGGGGACAGGAAGGTGACTGTCCAACCTGCATTCAGACCATGATCTGCTATAGACCACTGGTGTTTGAAAAGACCACATTCACCGATGGCCAAAATCCACAAAGACTTCAGACCTCCTTAAAGATACTAATAACAACATATTGAAATAGCTTTTGTTTTGTAGTAACTACTCTCTGCACCATGTCTGCACTTGGTTCACAAACCAGGGGAAAGACATGCTCATGTAAATGACAGATTTCACAACTTCTTTGGCTTCTGGTTGTAGTTTTCTCTCTTACAATCCAAATCTAAATCTACAACCTAAATACGGTCTGCCATGCAAACTAGCATACAAATCTCATAGAGAAAGCGCCAAAAATGTTTGGTAAAGGAACATTTTTGGCAAAGGAACAAAGGCGTTTTTATAAACTCACTTTAAAATTTCTACTCAACACCCAACTATTGTTTTTAATCTTTATAACTCTACTATAGCACATGTGAGTGTCTTTAAAACTAAGACATAAAAATTGTTTTCCCACAAAACACAATCAAGATGCTTCGTTCAAATGTAGCTAAACAGCACAAAGATGTTACGTTTGCTTGAGGGACAAATATTTATTACTAAAGACTTTGATTGTATGATATGTGTTGATTAAAAAAAAAAAAAACACCCAGAAATTGGTTTGCATACATTTGTGTGAAATTCTGGATTTTGACCATCTTTGTCAATGAAAAACAAACACTTTTTTAAAAAAAAGTTTTGTAGTATTATTGAAAATAAATAATTAAATCTGCTCTTCAAAAGTGTTCTTTTCGTCCGAGTGAGAATACTTTAACATGTAACTGCTAAGTGTCTGGCAACAAAGACAGCCAAAAAAAAAAAAAAATTTGTAAAATTACAGAGTGAAATGAGAAATTGATTTCCTGCGGTAGGGAGAATATGTACAAGGCCAAGTGCACCATCTGCTTCTCAGTTTTCATTATCAGTCATCAAAGAATAAGCGACATATACAGGATGAATCTGGAGAAAAACCTGGAGGCAAAGGCTATGAAAGGCTCATAAAGAGCCTTTTGACATTCATTGTATTAAGATTGAGATTGCAAAGTAAGAGCGAATAAGGATCCAATTTATCTTTGGTTAAATATGTTGATGTTCAAATCTCACCTTGGCAGCAATACACTAATGCAAAATCCCACCAATCGCAGACTCTAAAATTTCCTTTCTAATCAATTACCACAAACAGACTTAGAATAATTTACTTCAGTTTGTTTGACCTCAACGAGCAGCTGTGGACTCACATCAGCACCGCCACCAAACTGAGATGGAAACGACATTTGAATACCTCAGATTTATGCTGTTCTTGTGATTTAATTGAACCAAATTGAAACACATTTCGCATAAGAAGTCGGCAAAAAATTAAGGTCCATGTTAAAAGGATTTACCTCAAGGAGAAATGAGGTGGAGTTTGAAATAGAACAGCCTGAAAGGGTCTATATTTGACTTTATTCAGAGGAAGACTTTTTTTTTTTTTTATACCAACACATTAGCCAACCAGCCAGTTGGTTACCTGTTGGGAGCTTGTTAGAGGTAATGTGTTTGTTCGGAAACATAAGACTTTTAAGAGCCTTTTGGTGACTGCACAATTTGTACTTTATAATGTATTCTAATGATTAAATGACCAGCTGAAAATGTGAGCTATTTTCTACAGAAATGTGGGCAAAAATGATCTCTCTGAATGTGACACATGCCTCAAGACCTGCAGCTGTAGCTGCAACTAGATGTGGCTCAATAATGAATTTCCCCAAGGAGGCTGAATTCAGCAGAAGGCACCCTTTTCAGAGACCATATAATATTTTTTATCCACTTCACCATGACCATTCCCATACTGTGCAATTAAAAAAAGTTTTGAAAAAAGTTCTGGTTTCCAGCCCAATCTTGGCTTTCTCCACTTGACTTGGATGTCTTCAGTCGATTTTTGACCGAGCCAATCAGCACAGAAAGTGAAGTCATGAATGATGACACCAATTTTCTGCACCGTTTTAGAAATGAAGCCTGCCTGGCAGCGGAGGAAGTGAACAAAGCCATTCAGTCCATGTTTGCCACATTTCCAAATACTGAATCAACTCAACAGCCGCCTCGTTGAGATTGATATTTCTCTCTTCACTGTGGAGGGTGGTTGTGTACAGAGCAGGCAATTTCAGGTAATCTTCACGTCGAACTGGTGTATCACATTCGTCACATTATCAATTAGGTGAAATTTCAAACTCCAACAGAATCGACGCTTCCAGGATGCATTCATTTCTCAATAGCTGAGAGCCCAGACCTTGTGGATGAAGCAACGTTTTAGACAAGGGGCAGTTTTTTTTTTTTTTTTACCAGGCTACCATTATGTAGTGCTTTAAGTTGGTTTTTGGCAAGAAATCTCTATAAAATACAGCATTGCCGTTTGCAACATGACAACATATAAAAAAAGTTAGTTGAGAATAATCCAGTGCAGGTTTGAAGAGTCTAAATGATGTCGGGGTTTTTTTTGTTTGTTTGTTTTGTTTTTAACTAGAGTAGTTTGAAGATGCTGAAGGTACTGAAAAATTAGGTGGAATCGCCCTTTAGCCATTTTCCAAATTGAAACTTCAGTTTCTTATCTTCCTGATCATGCATTTTCGGCTTGAAAAAATAGCTAAACAAGAACAGTAGAAAACAAATTCTTCATTTTTTCTGTTTTGAACCCACGTCATCACCTAATTAGGATGAGATTCTTGGTACATTCTTGGTATCTGAACTCTCAGTCGTTTCTTAATTGCTGTTATTTTGGTGTTTTTACCACAATTGCTGACTATTCAGAAATGAATCAGCAGCACATTTACAGGCAGATTAATAATAAATGTCCCAAATGACGTGTTTCGCCGTTGCCAAATCGAGTAATTATCTTCACCGGTCTCCTCTCTGTTCTGCTTTGATGCATGTGTGTAGTCAGTGCTTAAATCTGCTTGCTGTGTGTTCTTCCCACCAGGACGTGCGAAGAGTATTTACAGTCTTTGAGTGGAGCTTATGAACACACACACATGCACACGCTGTGTAAACACTGTAACACTTGCATGAAATGAAATAATGCGAGCCTTCCCTGCGTCTGTTGGCACATTGGGAATAATATGTTGATCAATGTTGGACACGCAGCTGCTGACCTGCATATTGATGGAGCGGGTTGGTTTTTCCCCAGCTGTTGCGTCGTTTCACACACACACACACACACACGCATACATGTTAAACAACATCTTGTGTATATCTTAATTATGCCATGAGCGGTGAAGCTTAGGCACCCAATACAGAATCTTGTTACTGCAAATGACTGAATGACAGAGTATTGCAATGTTATTTCTTAAATTCAGTCCAGGCAATGTTGTGTTTACAATGAGTTTGGATAGAAAAGGAAAGGGATGAACTGTTCCCCTGTTGCTGAACAGAGATTTTTTCAACAAAAAACTGGATCTGTGCATCCCTTTGTTGTCTCATGAAGAGGATGCTCATGGTTGACCGTAATTTTCTTGATTTCATGAAGAATTCTTCTTTCCTCAATAATTTCCAGGTGCTCTGGTGTAGTTTTAAGGAAAGAACCAAACCAGTAGTTCTCACCAAGTTGTTTCGTCTTTTTAAGACCAAGGTGTTCTTAAGTAATACAATCTCCTCTGCCCCATCAGTTTTGCGGTTGGATCTCCAGTCCAGTCTGTTGCCCATACAAACACAGAGATATTTATATTCCTCCACCACCTCTACTTCTCCCACGATCGACGTAGATGAAAAATGACTTGATTACATGAAGAAAGCAACATGACTGGGTAAAGGTAGACGCCATGTAGTCAACAACTGAGCAAACCAGTTGTAAACTCTTCATTAAGAGGGTTGCCATTATCAAAATACTCAATAAGCATCATATTTGACAGAGAATGTTTCAATTCATTCATTGTGGTTCAAAAGCAGCTCTAAACAGGTTGGACTTTTTAATCTTGATTCTGGAAGTTTGTTCCAGATTTGCGGAGCATTCAAGCTGAATGCTGCTTGTCCATGTTTGGTTCTGGTTCTGGGGATGCAGAGCCTGATAGCAGTTGTCGCTGTACGCTGTAGAACAGACTTGCTTTTTGTACATATGAATGTTTAAGTGATTTTTTTTATCTAAAACACTTAAGTGTGACAAAAAAATTTAAAGCAGCACACGCAGAACACGTTGAATTTGGACTGAAAAAAAATTACTGCGAGAAACAAAAGTGGCGGATAACCAAGGACTTTCTCAGCATAGATCTTTGAGTCTCAGTTACATGTAGACCACTCCAAATACCTTCTTATGATTTCCATGAAATCATGCCAAGTTCTTTCTAATATGTAAGGGAGGAAATTTAATTTTCTAGAAAAACAAAGTAATAGAATTATTACAGAAGCTCTTTCATTTCATTATTTACAAGGACAGACAGAAACCGAAGTCTCTCCATCTTTATCTTCTCTATTTGCTGATCAATCACCTTTCAACCTTTTACCAATCAGTCTGAATTACTCAGGTCATTTTTTTCTTTGTTTTCAGGCTGTCTTCGTGGAAGCAATGCACGTTTCTTTTTGAAACTCATTCATTCTCCTCACATGCTTGATCATTTTTAGTCTTTTAGTGTCCTGACTGTTGGAGAGGCAGTGCAAAACTTCAATCAGCAGCAGTTGATCACAGTCAATGAACTGACAAATTGATAACCCGGAATGCCGGATGGTTCATTTAGACAGATGGTGGTGATTTTTCATATCCCATATATCTATATCTATATCTATATGTATATATATATATCTATATATATATATATATATATATATATATATATATATATATATATATATATATATAGATAGATAGATATATATATATATAGAGAGAGAGAGAGCGAGAGAGAGAGAGAGAGAGAGAGAGATAGATATATATATATATATCCAATCTGTGAACCTAACTGATAAACCATGTCACTAAATTGTTGTAAGTCGTTGCCGGCATTAAATGTAGAGTGGCTCGGGCCCCCCCATGGTTTCTGCCCCATAGGTGTCTCAGCTGGATAGAAAGTTAATCCCTGAGGCCTATTACTTGCAGGTAACATGGGTGAGGCACAAAAGTCTGACCGAACTGTCATTCCTGATTGGAGAGTGAGACCCATTACTCCTCTACCTCGCCCAAAGGAGGGTTGACCATACATATATTCAACATTGGGTTGAAAGGTTTCTGCCATTTCAAAATGAAATTACAAAAAAAATAAAACACATTCAGTTAAAAATTAGTAGCTTATGTTCTTCCTTTGATCCTTTACTTGTGGTCCAGGTGAGTTGATATGTCTTGTAGTAAAGAGGTAGCTTGTAGATGACAGCAACCCGGGCGAACAGCATCAAGCTGATCAGGGATCACGGAGTCACGGCACCAGTGTAACTTTCTCTAGAGTGATAAACAAAAGACAAATCTTCAAGACTTGACTGCCTGCGAGTGGTCCCTCAGCTCCACCAGCACTCCGCAGAATTCTTTATTAATTTTTTTTTTTTTTGTGTGTGTGTGTGTGTGTGATCGTATAGTGTAAATCGAACAGTTAACAATTTCTTAAAATCAAAACAAAATATTCTCATTTCAAAATAACTTCAACAAAACCAACAGTAAAATAACTGCCATCACAGCCAACAGTTAACAGTTATAACATTTGGAAAACATTTCTCCTTATACATATGTTTTTATAACCAGAACCCACCTAGAGTGATAAACAAAAGACAAATCTTCAAGACTTGACTGCCTGCGAGTGGTCCCTCAGCTGAAAACAAAAGATATAGTTAGCGTCATGACTGGTCAGCCAGGAACACCAACTGACGCAGCTCTCACACATAGGGTCATATTTTTCCAGCCCAACCACGACAAAACTTCATAATTTATATTTATGAATGTCAGTTGTTATTATAGTATTTTGTTAAGTACTGAACCAGAAAAATATGACCCCAAGTAAAAAAAATAATAATGAAGAGCTGCGTCTCTCGCACCTACCTCCACTCCGCAGAATTCTGGTGGGGGAAACTGCGAGAGCGCCTGAAGGACCCGTCGCATGCAGTGCGTTATCATACCACTAGGTGGCTCCAAAACATGGCATTACTCAAAAATCTCATCAAAAACAAACACAACCTTCATTATTTTGGGCAAAACTCACACAGACATACTATACACACTTTGCTCTCTGTTACACTATCAATGCAGTCATTGTACTCTTGGAAACTGGTGAAACTCCATGTCCCGGCCTCAGGTTATAGCTACCAGAATTACCTTTGTTACTCAGACAATTGTCTCGGTTGGAGATGCAGAATGTAGAAGCGCTATCGTAAGTGACAAGATGGTCCAAACATCTCATATCAGCATGTGCTTCCAGAGGAGCTAAGAGCTACAGCACTTAGGAGTCTTCATCATGATATGGGCCACCTTGAGTCAAACGAACAGTAGATTTGGCAAGAACTAGATTTTACTGGCCAAAAATGTATATGACCATAGAGAAAATGGTTAAAACGTGAGAGATGTGCTCATAGAAAAACACATCCATAAAAAGCTGCTCCACTGATGAACATTAAAACCTGCCGACCTAACTTTTAGTTCCTGATGATAGAAGACTTTCAGCTGAAGTATTATCTGCAGCAGTTTCCTCCATCTGAGGAAACACTTTTTCTTGGAGGTAACCATTGGTAACACAAGAACACCTTCATTTTCCCCTCTTTTCCAGCAATCAGTTTGCTTTCTAGATGGATAGGTGATTTCAGCTGGACTCTCACAGCTTCAGCTAAGTATTATTATTACTATTGAAATACAATAAAAATGGACTCCAGTTGTCCACTATTAAAGAATGGGAATATTATTTATATAGCACTTTTTTATCTTGGTTCTCAGTCAATAAGATCTGCAAACATGCATTTATTGAAGTTTGTGGTGGTGAGTTGGGGCCTTTTTCTGATCAATTTCAACTTTAATATGAAAACAATTGTCTTGCACTTTATGCTACTGTTGCTAAAACTACAGCAGCGTCGACGCCAAGATTATGAGTAATGGCTTTATTAACAAGTGTACCTATTTCATAGCTTCTTGATGATTCATCAAAATGGCTGCATTAGGTAATACACACATGTTCGCACCATGAGTGTGTTACCTAATGGACTGGCCCATGTTTTGTCTCATTTTCCGAGAAAAACAAACTGCGCTCTCTTCAAACCACGGCCAAATCAATGTTGAGCATCACCACAGAGAGAACAAACAATATTTGCACCAATTACCAATTTGTTGCACTTACTTTCTGTTTGTTTCAGGATTGATTTGAAGATGTTTTTATGGATTTCAAAAAGTGTTAATGGTCTTCCTTAGCTTTAATCCTTTAAACTTTGTTGACCCTTCAGGTTTCTGAACGAAACAGACAGTGAAGCATACTTTTATTATTTTGATTCTGGTCACGGCTCCGGCAATTTTTGATATTTTTGTATCATTCAGTTTTTTACATTATTTCTTCATTTTTATTTATTTTTTTTTATAGTACTAAGATTACTCTTATTATTTGTAACATTAGCTGTTAGCGTTAGTCTGAATGCAAATTAATTAATTTATTTATTTATTCTCTAATCTTTTAGCAGTCTGCCTTTTTTAACATTAGTCATTTGTTATCAATCCAGATTGCTATCCAGTCTCTAGTGTTTCCTTACTTTAACATTTTTAATTTTCAATTAAGAATATGACTACATAAGTATGTTCACCAGTTAGTAAAGTATTGATGGATTGTGATGGATACGTCACAATCTTCCAGGCACCCTGACGTCTATGGCCTGTACAGCCAATCTTCAACCAAGCATTACCGGACCAAATGAATCAGAATCAGCATTTGGTTCTGTTACTGCATCAGAACAGAACCAATTGTCCAAGACTATTTTTATTGTCTTATTACAAATAAGGAGCTAATTGTGTTGGAAAACGAGTGTGTTGTTCTGTCCTCAGAGCAGGTCGGGCCTCACTTCCTCTCAGTTTCTCCAATATCCAGGGTAAAGTTAGAGAAACATGTTTTTGGTAGTGCAACAGTCCCCATTTATGTCATTATTGGAGACAATAATAAGCATGATCAAAAAAGTGATATCAAGAATAAATGGCCGTAAGCTTTAGAAAAACAATCTCAGCTGCACTTTCTGTGTGTTTGTTCAGTAGTTTGCAGGGACGTTGCCTCTTCCTGTGTCCTCAAATCCAAACACATGTTCATTTGTGGAGGAAATTCTTTCATGACCCTCTTAAAGATGAATATTGCTTTCTGTCCCAACACCAGTCACTCTCTTACTATTCTACAGATATTAAGAAGACTTTAGAATATCAGGTTTTTGTGATACAACAAAATGAGACCATTAGAAAAAAATATTTTAAGCATTCGTCCCCTTCAGTGTGACATATATAATCTACAATTCAAATAAATATTTTTGTTTTGTTGTGGGTGGAGGTGTAAAAATGAAAACAATGCTGTGATATCCCAGTTAAAGAAGTGTTTTGTTTTAGCAAATACTTCATCTTATTCACTTTTTGGTCCAATTTCCACATTTTCCTAGCATCAGTTATTTGGTGGAACAAATATGACACCGTATATAGGAGGTTACTCCTTTAACGTACTATCATCTACACTATCTAGCCCTCCACCTGTGTTTGCTTTCACTGCTACTGGTGTGTAAAAAAAATCTATTTAAAATGAATAAAAAATTCTTAGCCTGGTGGGGGATAAGTAAAGCCCACTGGGCTTTTAATATACAGAGGGAAACCCTGAAATGCCTGGAATTTAGCAGACCAACAACTTCTCATAGTGTGTGGTGCAACTCTGCATACGGACTATTCTTAAACCAACACATTCAGCAGACGGAGAGAGATATAAGGTAATAGTTATTGTCTCAGGTTCATCTATCAACAGGCTGTTCCATTTTACATTTCTTCAAGGGACTGTTGTTAAGCTCTGAAGCATGAAATTGCTTTAAAGTGCCAGTCACAAAAATGGAGCCATCAAATCTCTTGACTCAGCACTTACTCAACACAAGTTGGAGCCTTTGCAATATGGCACAAAAACCCCACAATGAATAACAGCAGCAGTAGGGGTGGACTAACTGCTCTGGTGCATCGTGAGAGGTTCGTAATTTTGACATAGCCGTGTCCCTGGAGCATGGGTTGCCATGGTTTCAACATCGTTTACTCTATGCGTTGATTGAATACCCAGTTAAGACCAATTGGTGGGGAAGGATAGTAAAGTACCAAATGCTGAGGTGTGCCCTGCCAATCTCTATCTATTTGTGAGCATCTGGAGAAACAACGTTCACTTCCTGGCCTCTTTTGATGGACTCCACACAGAAGAACATTCAGTATTCATGCTGCTGAGGTTCCACTTCTTTTACCTCATTTATTCAAGCACTCCACTACGTTTATCAGCTCGTGTTTTTTGGTATTTGAAGGTAGCAGAGAGGCAATTGGCCTTTTGAGATGTGCTGCCATTTTGGCAAATGCTGCACATTACCTGAGCTGTGACTTTGCAGTCTGGAGGGAGTGTCAAAAACAGCCAGAGGAAGCTGGCAGGTCCAGTGGAACTGAGAAACGCTGCTCTGTTCAGGGGGTATTCATGACCCTCTCAAGGATGAATATTGCTTTCTATCCCAACACCAGTCACCCTCTTACTATTCTACAGATATTATGAAGACTTTAGAATATCAGGTTTTTGTGATACAACAAAATGAGACCATTAGAAAAAAAATATTTTAAGCATTCGTCCCCATCAGTGTGACATATATAATCTACAATTCAAATAAATATTTATTTGAATTGTAGATTCTAATAAAAGAAGAAAAGCGAATTTGAGAGGTGACTTTAAAGCAAAACAAAAGACAGCAAGTTCCTCCAATGGGTGGGGTTCATCATACCGCATGCGTACCTGTTGATCACAGTTTCTTCTGTCATTTAAGATGGCATTTGAAAAGCTACTTCAAAACAATTTGGAAACGTTATATCATATTCAACTATTTATAAGTTTTTGTAGCATTTTCACCAACAAATCACTTTATACAGTGAACGAAATGTGAAAACTTGTATAAGAGTAACAAACACAAAGCTTTTAATTAGCCAATAAACAAAAAAAGGTGACCACAAGCACAAAAGTAGCTCCTGTTAACATAGAGACAAAAGTGCACATTTTGTAAAGTGAATACAGACAAAATATGCGTCTATAGAAGAATGTGGCGCCACTGAAAAAGCTGTTTGGTTGCACTGCAACACTGCTACAGAATGATGCAAACGACATTTGTTCTGGGTTATTTGTGAGAGATTTGTGACGTATAAGAGTGATTAAAGTTCTCATGTTAAACACACTTAATAAATTAAGTTAGCAAAACTTCTGAATGAGTTGGATGATCATAATATATTTTAAGTTGGTCAGACATAGGATACGAATTCGACACTGAGCTCAATTCTTTCAAGTAAATCCAAAGTAAAACGTTTCTTTAAATTAAAGATTTGTAACTTTTAAGACAACTGAACACAAAAAAAATGTAAGTTGTCATCACTAAACGAAAAGAATTAAGTGAGATTAATGTAAGTAAGTCCATAAAATGAGCTACAACCAAAAACACTTTTTAGAGCGTATGCCTCCTACATAGCTGCTGTTAAAGCTGAGGCAGGGAAGAAGTTGATTTCTTATAGACTGTGTCTTTATTAAGTTTTAGCCTCTGGAGATGGAGTGCTTAATGTTTAAGTGATTACTGGCTCTCAAATCCTAAATAGTCCCAGGATTTTTGCTTTGGAAGGACAAGCTACTCAGAGTAACAGCTATAATAAATCAGATAGGATGCAGACACAGCCAGCAAGACTTGTGCCGTTTTATTTAGTTAATTCAGATCTAGACAAAGATCTGCACTGAAACCCTTTTAAAACATCATGGTTATTCCACCAAAGATTGATTTCTGAACTCCTCCTGAGTTAAAACATTAGTATTTTTGTTTCTAAATGAATATGAACTTGTTTTCTTTGCTTTACTCGTGTTCTGAATGCAGTGCATCTTTTTTTGTTATTTCGACATTTAAGAACACACAGAGACTGTTGGCTGCATGTCCAAGGGATTTTAACCAACAGACATTAGGTGGAGTCTAAGGGTGGGGAAGCTAAAGTGTTTGTGGAGCAAACCCCTTATATCGCTATTTTGATTTGATTTTGTTGTAGTCCATAGGGGGGCCCTGAAGAAAATCTTTGGGAACCACTGGATTAGTGGATGATTTGAATAAAAGTACATTTTATATATTTCTTGTTTTATGTTTATGGAGTCTTGCACAAAATATGTTAAAATTACAGTAGTTATATTTGTGTTTCCTGTTCCTAACAAATGCTGATGTAAAAAGGTTTTTGTCATTGGTGCAGGAGGTTGTGTTAAATAATAAAGAGAAGAACAAGAGAAAATGATGGTAATGCTCTTTGCGGTTCATCAAATAAATTTGACAGTAATTCTTTCTAGTGCACAATTCATCGTGCCATCATAATTGAAAACTTTTTTATGACTTGAATCTATTTTTGCTCGAGGGGTTCAAGTGCACGTCACAGCACTGTGCTTCTGGATAGCATTTAAACTTCAAGAATAGCAGCTGGCTGCTAATTACTTTGTTTGAGCCTTTTAATCTCATCTACAATCAAATACAAATTGCAAGTAATTTTCTTTCTGGAAGGGCAGGCTCAGGGGTTTTCAGTGCATCTGGACATGGGGGTGTGACCCGTTTGTCTTTTTAATCAAATACTTCAAGGTCATAATTAAGTCTATTATTACTGCCTCAATCACAGCTTTGCTCATTGCTTATTCTTGAACATTGTTACGTCAATCATCCAAACATTGTTCATATTTTAAAAGGGGAGACTTTTCACTTTATGTCTGTGTTCTGTTTATTTGCATCTGATTCTCCCCCTCTCTATCCTGTGGTCAGGAGCCGTGGTCATTGCCTTTGTGGTCTGCTGGCTGCCCTATCACGCTCGTCGTCTCATGTTTTGCTACGTCTCCGACTGGTCAGAGTAAGTAGCTGTTTTTTTCTTTTTTTCTTTCTTTCTTCTTAGTCTCTTTCGCGTTGCATGGCTTATTTGCCAACAAGGCACCAGTGTTTGGAGACCCACGTATGTTTGCTTATATCTATACTTTCAAAAGAACACACACACAAATGAACCTAAGTATTGACAAAAGAAGTCATTTAGAGTCATCGGTTAAAAGCGGCTGAAAAGAGGAAGCAGGAGAACTACATCTTGCTAATTAGTTTCAACTCTTGTTCTCTCACTTGCTTTCTTGCCTTTTCCATCTCTTTCTTTCTGTTTTTAGTCCATCAAAATATAATTTGTCTGATTAAATCAAACAGAACGCATTTGAGAATATTAATATTAGTCACTCGCATCTGCTCTTACATACACAGTGAAAAGCAACAGACATTAAAGTATGAATAAATGAATAAATAAAGCATAAATGACCATGAAACAGTAAAACACAAGACGCTCTGGTACATCATGCTAAAAGTTCTCAAGGTGTAAATTTATCATTCCTATTTTGTCCAAATTTCTGAGCTATTTCTTTTGTTGCTGATGGTTCTGGCCTGGTATGTTTTCACCAAGTGTGATTTCTCAGTTAAATTAAATTTAAAGGGGCAGTATTATGTGTTTTCCAGGAACATAGTGACATTTCATAGCACAGTCAAGTAACTGTGTTAGCTTCAGTTGTCATAAAATGCTACATTTATCAAAAATGATTTAAAATAAATCTGACTTCTTAATTTAATGCCTTGAAAATTGATCTAGGCTTCTGTAAAAATTCCTGCTTTTTCTGAAACTCCACCTTCATGAAGTCAGCATAACATTGCTCCTTTGTTAACCCTTTAACAACATTTTTGTTAAAGGGTTTCACCGAGAAGTAGCTCATATGAGCGCAGCAGATTAGCAGTTTCACTAGGTGTTTGCTAACTGCTGTGGGCTAGTCTGAAGGAGCTGAGTGGGGAGGGGAGGAGGGCTGCTTTTGGGGGAAGCCTGGAAACTTCGGAGCTGCAGGTCAGATGAGGAGCTGCGTCTCAAAGGTAGTTAGGTCCACCCAAGTGTTTTGCACAGCTGGATGTTTGCCAGAGACTAGAGGATTTCTAAAACAAGGTTACTTCCACTTTAGCTAGACTGTCATCACTTACATGCACAAGTAATTTGTGAATAAACCTTAAAGGTCTTGGCTAGCTTAGTTCCATTTCAGTCGGTATAATATGGGGATTTTGTCCTCACTTTTCCCTGTACTTGCCCCAGTTTGCACATGGCCTGCCACAACAGTACAGCATTTATTCTAGTGGTGCCCAGGCCCAGAAATATGGAACCTATTGTCCTGGTGAAGCTGTAGACTGATAATCTTAATGACATAATTCAGAGCACCAGTACGTCTTCCTCACAAAGCTTACATGCACTCCTGAGCAAGAGCAATTAGCATGTAAGGCAGGTCTCCTCTTGACTTTTTGTTGGTCTAACCTTACGTTCTTACCTTCCATTAGTGCCATCTTTCATTCTCACCATTTCCTCTAACCACTGTTGAGCAGAAGCGGCTAAAGTTCCTCTGCACATGGCAGCCCTTATGCATGTAGACTGACCCAAAACCAGACTTGTGCCAGACGGACCAACTGTGTCTGTGCTCTGCTAAACCGGATTACTGGGAAAGCCCTGACAAAACTGTGTTTTTCTCACTGGCTGGTAGAGGGTATTTACCATGGCTGAGACAGTAATTATTTATTTACATGATTCATGCATCCATGGCTTGTGATGCACTTGGCCCTGCCTTTCAGTGTTAAACCTCGTCTCATTACTGGACAAAGCCATTTTCTTGAGCTGTCTTTTTTTCTCCCACAGACTTAGAAACCAACTCTGATTTTTCTGTTGGTCTGTGTTTCTCTGCTACTGCTGCCACTACCTCTCTACAGTTTCATTAGCATAGCAGGTTCTCCTGGTTCAGTGCTTGTATTTTTTGTGTGTATGCTCTGTTTTCTCAAACCCCAGTCATTGGTGGCAGACGAACACTCACACTGAGCATGATTCCTCTGGAGGTCCATTCCTGTTAGAGGGGAGTTCTCTCCATCATCATGTCTTGCATACTCAGTGTGATTGATTGCTACAGTTAATGTCTTGTTTTCTTTATGCACATTTTTTGAAGTATCGCTCTAGGAAAGGTTAAGGGAATTGGTAAAATTCAAAATAACTTCTTCAATTTTGCGAAAAGTTTTTATGCTAGCTTGAGGTGGTTTTTGGCTTTTTGAAAACAACAGTTAATATTCTAAAAACACATTTGCAAAATAAATTCTGACTGTTACCTTACGTCACTGATCAGCTTAATTTTTCTATGTCTCCATACAGCATTTCACATCGCCAGTACTCGCTGACATGACAGAACAGTTACAAATAGCCAGACAGCAATACAATCAAATCAGAAAACCTCTCTCTCTTTTCTGAGATGAATGCTAGCTTCTATCCTCTACTTCCTGTTCATTAAAGCTATTTGTAGAGTCAAAATCCCATGAAATTCTGATTTGTGTAGCCTGGTTGATTCTCCCAAACCAGCAGATGGAAACACGTCAAATTTGCTATTTTTTCTATTTGGTAACATTTTCACATGAGCTCATGACTGCTTCTCATCTCTTCTTTAAGTTCTGCATCATTTCTTGATTTCTTTATTTTTATTTTTGCCTACTTCATGGCGTTAGATTCCTTGTATTAAAGTTATTACTTGATTCTTCGGGTCTGCTAATGATCAGGTGAGCGTTGCTAGTGCCCTCAGCTTTTGAGTTAATTCATGATTTAACAAATGCATCATTTACTTTTTTGGAAAGCTTTTCTCCCCTCAGTTAACTAAATCCTCATTTTTGTATGTGTTCAATTTATCTTTATCAAATGTTCAAATTTATTTGATGATCTGAAATGGAACAAAAATAAAAGAAATGTGAACGGTGTACCCTATGACCATATTTTACACCCTCATGATATTTTCTTCTCTTTTCTGATATCGCTCAGCATTTGTGTGGGCTTATGTAACTTTTCCTCCCCTTCTCCAGCTCTGCAGCTTAATCTCCTGCTTCCTTATCACCAGTCTCTACCAGAGATAGATTCACTCACTTTAAGGTTTTCTGCTCCTTTTAAACCTTTTTGTAGCATTTAGAAGATACAACATAAATAGATCGCATCAAATGAATTTACTTCTTCTACAACACTTTCACGGTGATCCTGGCAGAGTTGATGTGTCTGCTATTTCCATCCCTCTGGAGATTAGATTTGTACCACATGGATTTGGAAAGCTGACGTACGTGACTGTGTATGTGTGAGCATATCTTCCAGCGGAGAGGGGCGCGCTGAATCTTCTTGCCATTCGTTTCCTGCTTTACCAGCATTAAGAAAGTTAGTGGCTGGCAGGAATCCCGAGGCCAGATCTTGAAAATCTTTCTATAATGGCTTGTGTTTTTGGAAGTGGACCACAGGCTTAGAAATGTGCATTATTAGTTTACACAGCTCCATCACTTTGGTAATCAGAGCGAAAAGATCACTTGAAAGATAATTAGTTTTGGTAATTATATTAATGCATTTGTGTTTTAGGTCTCTCAGCTATTTTGTCAAAAAGACTAAACTTCCAAGGGCGAGCCTTTAATGATTCTCCGTGCGCATCAGATGTACTCTCATGAGTTTGATCATGTTATCAGTTTGTCATTAGGTTGTACAGAAGTCTGTTAATGACAAACATATTTGAGCCAGGGGTCATGTATGATATCACAAAAGTTAGTCAAATATTACCAACAATTTGGATTATTTAGCCAGTAATGGGAGTTCATTTCCCAAAGTCATATTTTTACCAGGTCTTTCATTCTTTTATAAATGTCACAGTTTCAAATGATTTAAACTTAATATTTAGCTAATATGCAAATTTGCTAAATGAAATCTGGGTCTTACAAACCAGCTGGCAGGCTGGTGTAGTTACTGTTGCTGTAGAGATCCACTGATAAAAATCTGTACTGCCATTAAGACGGTTCATCCTATGTTTTAAGTTGAAATGTTGTAAATGTTGAGAGGAAATGGAACAATCATGAAGACGTGACATGAGCAACTCTTCGCCAGCCAGCGGAGGAGCCAGATAATGTTCATAGGAGTGGTCAGACTGGGACCGTTGTGGTCAGACTGGGACCGTTGTGGTCAGACTGGGATTGCTGCTCACTTAGGCAGGCCCAACTGATTGGCGCCAGAGCCACTTCATCAGATCACTTAAATTATTTCACTAAAGTCAGAAATTGCTTGTTCCATAGGTGTGCTCCACTGGTAAGTTACCTCCCCATTGGAGCAAGCAATCACTTGGCATAGGATGGCTGGGCCTCCCCATGGTTCACAAGACCCAGCTTTTATTTTGGTAGTCCATTTCCAGTCATCAGCAAGTGAATTTGCATGTTAGCTAAATGTTTAGCTCTGAGCTAAGTGAATAGCTAGCATGCAAAGTTTGCGTTGAGCTAAATAGTTACTGACATCTATATTCGATGAATATTTGACATCAAACAAAATATTCAGTGTAAAGCTAAATATTTAGCATGTTAATCCTCTTAGCACAACGGTCAGTGACATCATGGTTGGACGGCGGGGAAGTGAGAGAATCTTAAATCAGATCATTAGATCCCAAAAAAACTTCTAAAAGTGCACATGGGGTCAAATGTCATTCACCAGAGGGTGAGAGGGGGGACAATTGGTGCGTTAAAACCAAACATTTCACATTTTCACTTTTCTTTCTTCTCTCTTCTCTTTATTCTTGCAGCAACATGTACGACTTCTACCACTACTTCTACATGGTGACCAACGTGCTGTTCTACATCAGCTCGGCCATCAACCCCGTCCTCTACAACCTGGTGTCCGCTACCTACCGCCAGATCTTCTTCACCACGCTGCGCTACTTCTTCATGCCCTGCCGCCACACACCCAGGAAGCAGCCGCACCCCCTGACCCGCCACTCCATCAGCATTTCCAGCAACCACACTTTCTCCACCAACATGATCAAAGAAACAACGTACTGACAACACGGAACTGTTCGCTGCTGCGTTGCGGCTCCAGAAGGAAACCTCTGTTAGACGTTGGGTCGCGGTGCTCTTCGTGGAACTGTGGTGATCATCATTTGTCCTGGTAAACCAAGTGCCCACCCAGAGACCACTGTCATTTGACTGCAACTGCACAATGTCTTGTGACTTCATCCAGCATTGCATGAAGTTGTGCCAAAAACCATGATAGCATAAAACTTGAAGAAGGAACAAGAGATACTAACTGGTTCAGTCATTTGTGAACATTTTGTTTCTTATGATGTTATGATGTATGAACTTCACAGACTTTGTAATACTTTGGCAATACTGTCAGTGCCACGGCAGCACATGGTGTAACCATCATCTGTGAGCATCTGTGGGTAAACCTGACTTTGATGTTAGATGAAGATAAGCAGGGTAAAGGACGTAAAGTCTGTGGAGGAAAACCCCTTTCATCATAGGCTCTTTACCCGTCCTGCATGTCTTGGTTTTGGTCAAGCAAAACTCTGTTGCCCAGCTTTCAGCCTGCAGGAGGTCCTTGTTGTACAGCTCACCCTCTGATTTCCAGCAGGGTTTTGTAAATACCCTCACAGGGAGAATGTTCATTTCTGACATTTTTCAGTAGTCATAGCAAAAACCTGTGAAAGCATAGCCAGAACAAAAGAGGCTGTGACTGATTGTTGTATTTGTGCATAGCTATGTCAGAAATTATACACTCTGGAAATAAAGTCGTTCCTAAACTCAAGTGTCTGCATCTGTTGAAAGAATTGATAAATCAAGTGAAGGACTTCTTGCCGAGTTCTCCAGCCAGCTGCTAGAGAGATGTCCAGAGATCTCTGGATTCTTCTTTCTGAGCGAAGCAAGGATTGAAAACAATCTGGGCTACTTTGCAGCTAACGCACAAAATAACTTGAACAGAGGATAAAGGAAGAGCAAGCGCTAAGAGACCGACAGAGTTTTCAGACTAGTGTGATTTTTTTTTTTTTTTAACATTTATTTTCCAAGCAAATCAGCAGCTTGTTTATGACAAAACAATCAGAGGAGAGAGATTTGCTTATGTGAAAAGTAGCAAAAATTCCAGTTTGTCTTGAGGTCACACAAACATTCTGTAACATTTTATAAGGAGCATTTTCAGGGACTCATTAACATTTAACACTTTGGTTACTTGGACTGTAACTTTATAAAAAAAAAAAATAACTAAGCAAATATAAAACTACTGAGAAAGTCATTATTTGTCAATTAGGAAGTAAATGTTAAATGACTTGTACTTGTTTAGAACGTCATCAAGTCCGCATTTATGAACCTATGTGTTGAGCGGCACCACTGGGCCTTTTGACCACCACCAGCAGCCAAGGCAGGTGACGTGTCCTGCCTAAGGACACAATAACTGAGACGGATAAAATATGGATCCAAACCAGTAACCCACTGATTATGAGCAAGTGAAAGGTTTTCACAATGTTTTGAAATGTGGACTAATAATAACTGAAGTGATTATTGTAAGGTGAAACCAAACATTGATTTTTACAATTCACTCAATCATTCCCCTTATGTCATAAATATTCTGGTGACAGATTTGCTCCATCACCAGTCGAGGGATGCTTACGATTAGGACTACCAGTTGTACATAACACTAATAAGCATTAAATGTGTTTTTTGTAGTTTTGTAATTTATCAAAGGCTTTGCAAAGTGAAGACACTTCATTCTCTTAATTCCAAATTCTTCTTGGCTACTCCATTGTTATAATTCTTAATGTCGCCAGGTTGGATTAGCCATTAATCTACAGCAAACATGGAAAATGTTGTTTCTTGTTTATTTCTTGTTGAACTTTTGTCTTATAAGTTGTAAGTTTGGTAATCTAACCTCAGCACTATGCATAGCAGGAAATGGTCATACACCGTTGTGCATTTACAGAATGTCTGCAGCAACATTATGGACTTAAGCAGGTTGTGTTGGTGTGTGGACAAGTTCCTGCTAATCCCTGGATGCACACATAGAAGAAGCAAATCCTCTTCCCTGAAACCCCCGACCAGTGTCACATACTGCATATTTTGCTTTTTCCACGCTACCAAGTTCCTGGCAGTAGGAATGTGTGTGAGTTAATCAGTTGTGGGTGGATACGGTCCAATGGTTAGCATTAGCTTAGACGTTTTACGTTCAGGCTTTAGATTAAGCAACCACAAGTTGGGTTTTAACAGAGGGAAACAGTTTCTAAGCACATTATCAGGTGTCATGACTCACATTATTTTTTCTTTTCAAACAGAAAAGAATACCAAAGTACAAGAATTAACATACAAAGTTTGGAAAAAAAACCCAAAAAACTATAACAGTGTTAATGTAGAAAGCATGAAATAAAAATAAAGAAAACCTATGTAAATTACCTGCTATATTCAATTGTTTAGGTTCTAATGCAACAACCAAGCACTTTAACAAATAACAGGGCAAGACATTCTCATTGCGTGTAAAACTTGATAATCCAGTTATGTCACAATAGTATTGATAACCCAGATCCTGACTGGTTACTAAACTGCTAAAAAATTATCAAATAAAATTGGTGTGAGAATTTTCCACAAATAAATATAATTTGAGTAAACTTTCATCAATTGTTCAGGATAGAAAGTATGTCAAATTTCAATCCATCTTTATGTGACAAAATTAGTCCATGCCGCGCGAATGTTAGACGCTAGCTAGGTTTCTCTAATTTCCCCAATGATTTATTCTGATCTTGTTATCTTGTGATCTTGTCATCAACAAGTAACATTACTTAATTGTTTTACAGCAACAAAGAGTTTTTGTTGTTGTTTTTTTAGTGTGGTTGCCTAATAGTCTAAGTTTTCAGTTTGGAACTCCAACCCCGGCACCATGCACACCAGGAAGCAGTTACATAATGCAGTGCATTCACATCTGCAGCAACATTATGGACTTAAGCAGGTTAAGTCCATAACCTGTGTTGACGAGTTCCTGCTAACCCCTGTAGGCACACATAGAAGAAGCAAATCCTCTTCCCCGAAATCCCTGAATCACACCTCCCCAAACAAACTGGGTCTTCCTAGAAAAATAAACAAAACAGGGCTAGTTTGAATGCAACCTTAGTTTGTGGTAAGGTTTTTTTCTTAAAAAAAAAAAAGCCCTAACTAAAAACAGGCTTTCATATCAAGTTTACTAGGCAACAAGTGATTCAGAGTTACAACACTCAGGCTGTCACTGTTTGGAATTCCTCAGTAAGGAATTAGCCATTGACTGAGTCCAAAACTCCACAAGGTTTGTTTTCGATTAATCAAAGCTGCTCTTTTATTAAAGAGGAGGACTTTCTTCCACTCTTGTAGAAACTCTGTTTGGTTACTTGTTTCTGCCATGACTCAAAAAAACCTTCCGAATATCAACTTTCTTTAAATGCACATAATAAAAGCACAACAAAAATATAACTGCCAGCATGTTTCGCTGGCGTTCTCTCCTGCTGCGCAATATATTATATCGGGAAGGTTTCACCTCCACACAGACTGCTCGTTTGTGCAAACACACCACTTAGCAGAGAAGTGTTTGACCTTTTGTGAAGCACAGTCATTGAATTTAATCGCTGTATACTTGGAAAAAGAAATACCACACATAATATACACGAAAGTCCAGTGTCTTACTGAAGCTACATCAGCTGTGGACGAGTACTTTGAGTTTTTACCACAGGCCTGTAATTAAATCCGTCATCTGAGCCTGCGGGATTCAGTTTGGGTTTGTTCTGATTCTCAGAAGGACAATGGTGTTGCTTCTCAGACGTAGCCTGCCTCATCAACACGCCAGAGCAAAATGAAGCTGAGAAGCAGCTTGTGTTACCTGCTGCAGGAACTATCCATCAATATCATGATAGTGATGTGTCCAATTAAGCCTTTATGATTTTGTATATGTTGTGAAATATAGGATCTGAGAAAAGGGCTAGTTTGTGAGGTTGAAAATATGCTTGAATGACCATAATTAATATCTGCAGAGAGGCGAGTCCATATATCGATATATTAATTGCTTTATAAAAGGGATCTGCAAGCATTACCGTCCAAAAAAAAACAAAAAACATTTTGGGCCTCTGATGAAAGTAAAACTGGTTGAGAGCCGTTAATATTGATCTGACCTGTTGAGAAAAAACACAACTTATGTATCAAACAAGCTGCAATTCTTCCAACAACCACCATTTTTTTTCTATTTTTAAATCCAGAAAGGAAGAAAAACTTAAAACATTTCCAAAAAAAGAGGATGGATCAGGTTTCGTTGGTGGAATTCTAGTATTTGTGAAAAACGATTTTAAAAAAACTATGGTTTCCAACCTGATCACACAAAAAGAAATTCTAAAACGTGTTTAAAAATGCTCAATTGCATTTCAACCTGGATGTGAAGTTGAAGATAGTTGGTCATTTCTGTTAGTTCTTGGAATAATGACTCAATGAGAATTTAATAAACATCCATTTTAATTGTAATTAATGATGCTAAAAGCACTAGAGTAGACACAACTGAGTGTTATCAGTCTGTAAAATGAGTTTCTTCACTTAGGATCACATTAAAAATAAAGACTTTTCATTGTTTCAGGATGAATAGAAACTTCATTGTTATAGTTGTCCTAATGTAAGTTGTTTTTTAAATGTTAGCAGTAGGTTATTTTAGTTTTAAATGACACAAGGGCAAACAATTATACCAGAATGTCCTCATTTATGAGACCATTTAGACTGAGTTAATAAACCAGGAAATACTTCCATTACTGTACACAGTTAGACAAAAATGAATAGAAATGGAAATAATTCTCAATTCCTCCACTCAGCCCCGAAGCTCTGCCGCAAGACTTTTATATTTAACAAGAAATAATCAGATCTAACCCCTCTTACTAACCATAGGACATCTGTAATTGTCAGCATTAATACTTTGAAAACTCTTTTTTTCTCTTTCATTGTTCACATTTTTTTTATTAAGCTGAAATAAATAATCAGTTTGGAATAGAAAAGACTGACCGGTGAAACCGAAAAAAAGATCCATTTTCCTCCATCACCATGTGGAATGAGTGTCCGGTCCTCACTGCAAGAGCAGAACACCGAGGAAAGTCTGACTGCAGGGCAGGAGCGGCAGGAGAGGGAGAAGTTAATGTGCAAGTTGAAGTGATTGAACTGTTGTTTGCAGTGAAAGAAAAATGAACTTGAGTGTAGATAATTTGCAGAGACAGACAGCAACTGAGCGGCTGCTGCAGTTGTGAACAATGAAGGAAAATCAACAGCAGACAGAAGCAAGTCAGAGTGTTTACTTGCTTCTATTCTACATCATGTTTGTTTCCTCTGCTTTTGTTTTTGATATGAACAAATGCAACATGTGAAATGTTTTCCAGAAATGCTCTGTTGGAGAATTACATATGTCCCTGTCAAAAAGATCAGAAAGCATTAAAGAAAAAGAAAAGTGGAGCTTTGCATTGCAGTTGCACAAATTTATTTGGAAAAACATTTAAGATTTCAACCTTTCATTTCATTGTACACACTGAGCAGACATGTTATGGAAATAATTTTCAAAATAAAAGTGGCAGTCCCAACAATCCCTGCAAACTTGGTTTGTGATTTAGATTTTACTTTTTTTAAGTGGATCAATCAAGGAACTAATCACTCAGTTTTGTCTGCCATAAGTAAATAAAATAATATTTCAAGTATTTTCTTCCCATTGCAATTAAACTATAATTAAACTATAATATAAAATATATGAACTTCCCAAA